GCCTAGCGCATCTTTGGGAGCAAAAATTAATATAAGACACTGTCTTATTTTCGGGGAAACAGGGTCGTTGGCAGTAACCGGCAGACACCTGAGCTCCTGACAAGGGGGACATGTGAGCCATCCGCTGCACAGACTGGATGAAGGGCAGATGACCCACAGCCCCACACCTGGAGGTGCAACCAGGAGGGCCAGGGTGCGTGGAACAGCACACAGCAGAGAAAAGGACGCTACCGTTTGTGTGGTCCCGCTGTCTGGGATTTGGGCAATCCCACTTCACAGGACACAGCAGCCTCATGGTGTTGCTGGTGCTATCTTCTATACTAGGGAGCATCACCAGGCCCCCCACCCACCCACCCCTGGACACTTGCTACCTGGTGGTGTGAACTACCAACCTTTGCTTAGCCATTATCCCACTCTAGCATCCTCGGCATCTACGTAGCCAAAGCTTTAGGATGCCATAGTCACCCAATGCTGCGCCGACAGAGAAACCACAGAGGGTGCCTCTAACCCACAGAAACATCCTCTCACAGTTCTGCACACTCTCGGTGGGTTCCGACCCACGGGGATCTTGGGCACAACGGAATGAAACAACACCACAACACCGGGTCCTGCACAGTCTCACAAGGGGCCCCCTGTCTGAGCCCCTTGTTGCTGTTGCTGGTCCTTCTGCTTCCTGGAGGGGCCCCCTCTTTTCGCAGCCCCTCTGCTTGACCAAGCATGATGTCCTTTCCCGGGACTGGCCCCTGCTGATGCGAAGAGGCAGAGCGGTCAGGGTGTTCAATTGCCCTGCTGAGGAACACAATTCAAGCCACGACCAAGGGAAGTGGATTAGTCAGCCTCACGTTTCCAAGGCCATTGACTATCCAGAAGGAGGGGCAGGGAGAGAGGGCTGGCGTGCGGCACGTGCTGAGTGGTTCTTTTTATATCTCAGATGTATGCTCCACAATGACCTAAAAGGGGGAGGGCAGCCTGAGGAGGGGGAGGAGGAGCAGGAGGAGGAGGCCAGAGGGTTACTAGACTCTAGTGGGGTGGGGGTAGAGGCACGGTTTTTGGGAGGTGCCTGCTGTGGGAAGGCTCAGAGGAGGCTAGATTGGGGGGGGGGCCTCTGGGGAACAGTGGCAGTTCATGGGTGGGTGCTGCGGGCTAGGAGGGTGCTAAAGACACAGGAAAGGGCTCCCTCCTCAGGAGTGAGGGGCCTTTGCCCCCTGGAATTCATTCCCTCCTGTTCTGTTAGGGGAACTGGGTTAGGCGCTGGGCTGTTAACCACAAGGTCAGCAGTTCAAATCCACCAGCTGCTTCATGAGAGA